TTAACACCAAACATTCGGTAGAATTTTTAGAATATTGGAAATATATATATATATATATATATATATATATATATATATATATATATATATATAAAGCTTAGTTAGAAGCTTTACTTAAAGAATAGAGTGTAGAATCAGGAAGACTATAGTAAAGCGAGTTAAGAAAATCAACCCTAGATAATACTAATGAAGTAACAAAAAGAAGAAGAGTAGTTTTGTCAAAAAAAGCCAAAAGTTTTTTTTATTCTACGTAGCTGAAAGTAAGAACTTTGAAATTAATCAGAGAATAAAGAGACATGCTAGAATCAAATATATATATATATATATATATATATATATATATATATATATATATATTGTTATAACACTCGCTGTCGTAACCGATTTACAATGCGACGGGTTCAAATCTTCGATTGAATAAAATACTCCAAAGAGTTTGTTGAAGTAACAGAGTTCATGATAACGACGATGTAACAAGATTTATAATTTTATTAAACGTACATTAAACGTTAATAACTACAACAACAAGAAGAAGGAAGTTTTATAAAAAATCATATACACACTAAAAGTTAATCACTACTACGATAATGTCGATGCGCTTTACTCGCTTACGCTATTTTAACACCCCCACACGAGTTGTGCATCGCCATTAGTTTTAACATAGTAAAATGCCCATATTTATATATATAATTAAATGTTTACATACATATATGTTCAATGTTTCAGAAATTAATTATGTTCCAAAAACAAAATTTCTATATCTTTCCAACTTGTATCTTGAAATAGGCTTTGTAAACACATCCGCAACCTTTTCTTCAGATGGCAGATACAAAATTTTTACTTTGTCACGAATGCATTCATCACGCACAAAATGATATTTGATATCGATATGTTTGGATCTTTGATGGTATACTGGGTTATCAACTAAAGCAATTGCTCCTTGATTGTCCTCATAAATAATTGTAGATTGTTGTTTGTTAAAAATTTGTAACAGTTGAGTTAGAAATAAACATTCTTGGACGGCTGCTGCTAACGCCATATACTCAGCTTCACAAGTAGATAATGCAACTGTTGTTTGTTTTTTACTTTTCCATGATATTAATGGACCATCTATATTTAAACTGAAGCAGTATCCAGTTATGCTTTTTTTATCATTTAATGATCCCCAACTTGCATCACTGAAACCTGTTAATTTCAATCCTTTCTTGTTCTTTCTAAAACATAAGGAATAATTTAACGTTCCCTTCAAGTATCTTGGTACATGTTTCATCGTAACAAGCATTTCGTTGCTAGGATTAGCTAGATGTTGTGATAATATATTAACAACATAGCACAAATCAGGACGTGTACAGGTCATTGCATATATCAAACTCCCGACAACCATTCGATAGAAATTACTATCATCCTTTATCATGTCTTTATGAACATCATTATTCAACTTCAATTCACATGGTGTGAGTCTTGGTTTGCAGTTTTCCATGTTGCATTTACTTAGTAATTTAGTCAAATACTGAGTTTGATTTATTTTTATTACATCTTTTTCTTGAATGAATTGCATACCTAAGAACCACTTGAATTGACCTAAGTCTTTCATTTTGAAACGCAGTTTTAGTGAAGTCTTCACATCGTCCAACAAAGAATCATTGCTCGCAGCCACTATAATATCATCCACCCAAATCAACAAGATGGTTAATCCATTGTCAGCTGATTTAAAATAGACACAGTTATCTACACCAGATCTTGAGAAATTATTTTCGATTATGAAATTGTGAAGTAAACAATTCCAGTTGCGATGTAAAACGAGCTGTTGGTGCAAATTGTTCGTTAGCATCTTTATCCAATTTTATGGAGTAAACCCATTTCCCCCCCACTGACTTTCGGCCTTCAGGCAATTGTTTAAGTTCATATGTGTTGTTTTCTATTAAGGAATCAATTTCAATTTTCATTGCTTTATACCAATCAGCGGAATATGGTGATGACATTGCTTCACTGTAAGTCTGTGGTGTAATAGACATTTTACAACAATAGTCTGTTTCATTTTCAATTTCGTTATTCGAATAGTATTCATCAAAACGCTTCGGCGGTTTTCTATCTCTTTTGGGATATCTGGTTTCAGTTTGAACAACCTGACTTTCACGATTATTATCTGTGTTCACTTCCTCGTCTTCTTGCCTTTTGTTGGTTAATAGTTTTATTTAAAACATCATCTGTAAATTTTACAGAGCGACATCGCTGTATCTTGTTTGTGTCTGGAAAGTAGATTAAATAAGCTGGACTTTCTTTGTCGTATCCAACAAATATACCTTCTTCACTGCGATCATCAAGTTTCATCTTATTTTGTTTGTACGCAAAAATATGCATATTGCTTAAATTCGGCTTTTTACTTGTAAAAAAATGGAACGGTGTTAAACCTGTTCTTGGATTATAACAACGATTTCTGATGTACAATGCAGCTTTTACAGCATAACACCAGAGTTCTCTTGGCAGATTTGCATTCAAAAGAAGACAACGAGCCATTTCAAACAACGTACGCCATCCTCTTTCGGCCGTACCATTTTGATGCGGTGAAAACGGTGCTGACCTTTCATGTTTGATGCTGTGATGAATCAACAGTGATTTAAATTCCATTGATGTATATTCAGTACCATTATCAGTTCTTAATCTTTTTACACTGCCATAAGGTGCGACATCAGCAAAAAAACATTTTGTTGCTCTAACAGCATCACTCTTTTGTTTCAGGAAATAGAGAAAAATGATTCCAGTGAAATCATCTATAAATGACATTGCATATTGAAATCCATTTAGTGAAGTTGGTTTGATGATGCCAGTCAAATCGCTGTGAACTAATTCTAGAGGAAAGGTAGCACGAGTATCACTTTCCCTGTTTCGAGATTGAGACATCTTTCCCATACTACAGATGTCGCATCTAAAACTGGATTTATCTGTAATTTCCATACCTTCTACAACATTTTCCAATTTCAAAACATCATTGGTGTTGCAGTGACCCATGATTTCATGCCAATGTTTTAAACTTCCTGATTGTTTTGTTGTAGATTTATTTGTATACAAATAGTATAGTTTGCCATGTTTTTAGATATCAAACTTTGTTCCATCAGGGGCAGTCATATTAGCAGAATGTTTACCAAAAGTAATTGTTGCTCCATTTTCAGAAGCTGATTGTACAGAAAAAATATTTTGTGGGTAGGATGGAACGTAATGTGCATCTTTCAATTCAGCAGTAACTATTCGGCCATCAAAAGTATTCATATTCATTTTCACGTTTCCCCTTTTTAGAGCAATATTATTTAACCTTGTGCCATCTGCAAGTTCAATAAAATGTTTACTAGGGTCAAAATTTGTGTCATAGCTAATGAATTTCGATGCATCATTTATCACATGACTGGTGGCGCCACAGTCAACAAGTAACGATTTAAAACAAGATTTATCATCATTTAAATCATCAACTAACGTAAACATAAAATCATGTTCTGGAGCTTTTTCATCTCTCACTTGTTTTGTTGATGAATTATTATGTTTTCTTCTACATGCTTTGTCTGTATGATTAGATGCTTTACAATAACTGCACCACAACTTCTTTTTAAACTTTTCACTACAATTGAGTATTTCAAGTGCTTTACGACCATCGTCTACAGCATCGTGCAAAATTAGTGCTAAACTTTTATCATCCAAAAATTGAATTAATTCCGCAAATGCTTCTTCATTTTTCGCTGCATTTGGCTCTTTTCCGTCAGTCGGCAAAATAGTTTCTTTCAATTTTCGGAGTCGCATGTATCCGAGAAACTTTACCTCCCAATGTTCATATTTTCGTTCGTCGCCATCGAAAAACAATCTATTCCATTTTCCTTGTATGGCATCACTGGGCCCATAACCTGTTGAAGTAACAGAGTTTATGATAACGACGATGTAACAAGATTTATAATTTTATTAAACGTACATTAAACGTTAATAACTACACCAACAAGAAGAAGGAAGTTTTATAAAAAATCATATACACACTAAAAGTTAATCACTACTACGATAATGTCAATGCGCTTTACTCGCTTACGCTATTCTAACAGAGTTATTAATTATTAAACTTTATTTACAGAAGAAATCAACGAATCGTTTATTTCTAGCAAATTCAAATTAACGCAACAATTAACTTTTAAATTGTTCAAAATCTATCGCTATGACAACGTCAACAAATAAATCAAATATCGCTTTAAATAATTCACAGAGTCGCTATTCACAAAATCACAGAATCACAAATTTACAAAATCACGAATTTTACTCATCGCTGATCTTCTTGCGACGTGCGCTTATATACTCTTCGCAAGGGTCGTTTCTAGATTCTTCTAGATGGTCCGATTCTAGCATATTCTAGAATGTTTTAGTGCGTTCGGTAGCACGGTTATAACATTACCCCCATCTTAGTTGTGTTCGTCCCGAACAGCTTTCGTTCCGGTGTCCGCATGGTACGGAGCCAGTCTATCCAAATGAACGATCTTCATTCTTGCTCTCGGCTTCCGATATTCCTGAATACGGTAGACGACGTCATTCAAGCGGGTGATGACTTGATAAGGTCCTTCCCACTCTCGCTGGAGCTTTGGAGAACGTCCTTTCTTTTGCTGTGGGTTGTACAGCCAAACTAACTCGTCGACAGCAAAACCGCCACTGCTTCCTTTCAAGTCGTGGATATGATTTAATTAATCGATGTCGAAGATTATCGAAGGTGGTACGCCATATTTCACATCAGCTGGAGTTCTTGAGGTAGTCCCAAACAGAACTTTTGATGGCGTTTCTCCAGTAGTTGTGTGGATAGAACTCCGGTATGCCATAAGAAACAATGGTATATGACGATCCCAATCTCGTTGATTTTCGTCGACTACTTTAGCCAGATGTTCAATCAGGTTTTGGTTAAATCGTTCCACCATACCGTCAGACTGTGGGTGAAGAGGTGTCGTTTGAGTTTTGTTCATACCCAGCAGCTTGCACATCTCACCAAACAGTTGTAACTCAAAATTTCGACCTTGAGCTGATTGGAGTTACAATGGGACGCCATATCGACTAATCCAATTGAGTACAATTTCTTCAGCGACGGTACATGCTTCTTGGTTGGGTATTGGAATATAATATAATTTATATAATATATCTTTATAATATAATTTATTTCCACAAATTTTCAAAATTCTGGTAAAAAACGAATCGGACGAATTTTCCATCATTTGATCGAAACATCGCATTTATATTAATCTCCAAACAACATTATTTCCTGGTTCATCGCTTGTTCAGTCTCTTGCTAACCGGTGGATCGTAAAACAAATATGAAGTGTATTTATAATTCATCCAAGAAATTTCAAAAAGAAAACATGTAGAATAGTTTTTGAAATGAACGATTTTGAGTAAATTCGTTTCTATACAGCCATTGATGACCGATTAAAAAAAATGCTTTCTATACATTTTCAATGAAAACAGGTTATAACAGAAAAAAGGTTCTGTTGATTAAAACATTTCAGTAAAACATAACAAAAACATTTTACGACGCAAAATGAATCATAGTATGTACATAATGAAGATAATAAAGATTACCATTGTTACAAAACACCGGTTACCCGTGATACAGTTTGTGGTTACAAAATAAACAACCAAAGGGAGTTCTCAATGGTGGTCATGAATTGGTCATTAATAACGATTTATAAGTCTTCAATGTTTAAAAATAAAAAGTCGATAATAAAAAAAACAACTTAAATATAAATATTATGACATTCTGATAATTACTTAAACACAATTCAAGTTACACTTAAGTGCTCATGCGTGAGCAGAAGAAATAAAGTATAACTCTTGTATACCCAGGTGACGAGGATTTCAAAAGACCGTGTCGAACACAGCCATGGAGCTCGTTATCACTTGATCCTGTTAGGTTGAAAGTTAAAATATCGTCAAGTTGTTTCAAATGAGAATGTTGACAGAGTATCTTAATAAAAATAACTAAACTTGTTATGGTGTAAACATAACATAACAGAACATGACACGACAAACAGAACAGAACAGAAGACGACATGGAATGTCAGAACATGACCCGACACAACCTATCACGACGAAACGTAGCCCGCGATACCACAACGTAACAGAAAGGCTTTTTATATCAAAGTTTGTTGGCTGACCTTGCGGCATGTGTCGATGAACTCGTCGAACGATATGACGCCATCTCGATCAACGTCCAGCTTCTTGGGGACACGATTTTTTTCAATTAATAATTCAATTTATTTACGACATGTAATTTGTTTGAAGCGGAAATTAAATAGTATTTAAATCCAAACTTTTTAGTTATGCATGAAAGTCTAAAATTATTTAATATAGAGAGCAACTCCAATGTAAATAAATTTTTATGCTAAGGAACTTTTACAAAAACCAAAATCTGACTTCAAATAAAGCATCGACGTGATTTTTTATGACAGTGTCGTCAATTTTTGAGCTACAAAACTTGCCCATGATATCATAGACGGATGAGACGACCATCTGCATTTCCTCGCTAGTGATCTCGCCGTCCCTGTTGACGTCGTACAGGCTGAAGACCCACTGCAGCTTCTCCAGCATGGTCCCACGCAACAAGAGGGAGAGCCCCATCACGAACTCCTGCCATTGTTTGTTTGTTTATTGATGTTGATGATGATGTGATGATGATGTGATGATGTTGATGATGGTGATGTTGATGGTGTGATGATGTGATGATGGTGTGATGATGGTGATGATGATGTTGATGATGATGATGATGATGTTGTTTTATGTAGTTTAACGATCGGAATATAGTGATACATTTACAAAAAGACACATGTGCACACGCACACAAACCACCAGAGTTGGGCAAAGACACGGAGACGCAGAAAGCACGATCCTCAAAGATTCGCAGATTAGCTAGTATACCATGTACAATCCAGGAGTATTATAAATGAAGGTTCATTCAAACAGCAACAGGCATTGAATATACACGATGTATAGATGTACAGTTATTATCACACTTTATATACATAAAACAGCAGCACGGCGTTGCTTAGTAGTCGGCACAAAATCAAACACGTCGGTCACATATGTTCGCAGGCTTGCTGTTTTTTTTATCAACGAAATTAGAACGCGTTCGTTCACTCAAATCTTCATTTGTTTGTTGGTTCATCTAGTTGGCTGGATGAGTTGAATGGTTAGATTAATTAAATGGTAAAATAAATGAATTGTACGTTAATTGACTCGTCGATTAGTTCGCCAACTGGTCATCAATTAGGTGATTGGTTGGTTGATTGGTTGGTTGACTGGTTAGTTAGTTGATTGGCTATATTTCAAATAATTATTTGTATGGATGATTGTTTGTTTACTTGATTGTTTGATTAATTTTAATATTAGAAAAATATATCTGGCTGTTAGGATGGTTGTTTGGATGGTTGTACTTTTCATTTCAGTTTTGGCGGACAAAAATCGATAAGAAATATTGTGAGCGTTAAAATAGTTTATCGTGTTTTTAGATGCTGTGTCTGGTGTGTGTTGTTGTATGTACTGTGCGGTGGGAGTTGTTAGTTTTGCTATGTTGTTTTATGTGTTTTATGTTACTTTTGTTTCATCGCTGCCTTGTAGTGAAAAACGTCGCACGTAGATGCTTTTCACTCACTCACTCACTCACTCACTCACTCACTCACTCACTCACTCACTCACTCACTCACTCACTCACTCACTCACTCACTCACTCACTCACTCACTCACTCACTCACTCACTCACTCACTCACTCACTCACTCACTCACTCACTCACTCACTCACTCACTCACTCACTCACTCACTAACTCACTCACTCACTCACTCACTCACTCACTCACTCATCGACGAATGACGTGGAGTTTTATTCTGTATTGATTTTCGTCGTGCCGTTGTTTGTGTGATCAGTTCGCTAGAAGCACGTGTGCCAGATTTGTGTTAATGGAAACACACTGCATCCCAAAACAACGGGGCCAACAATAAACACAGCACAATTCATCCAATTCCTAAAATAAAATACCCATCATAACCAATAGATTGTCGCCCAATATCTATCACCCCCATAGTTTCACGTAATCTAGAAATATTCATCGTTAGGTCATTCATCAATCCATGTTTCAACCATCCATCCATCAAACCACTATTACATGATCAGTTTACATTTTGCCCTACCGTTTCATCTACATCCGCCATTATCTCTCTTACTTCTACAAAAACATCTTTTCTTAAGAATAATAATTACTCATCATCTCACGCATCAAATATGCAGCTTCCTCCTGGTCTGGTTTTGCTACACAACACCAACTTTAGCAACTACAATCTCTTATCAAAAAACTAATTCGCTTCAACTACCTATCTTTACCATATCCTACCGTCACACAGATATTCAACACACTTGATTCAAGGCTGTTCAAGAAAGTAGAAAATAACAACAACCACGTCATCCATCCTCTACTACCACCAATCAAAACTACAACACACAACCTTCGTCAGCGCAAACATAACTATCAAGTCATCGCCCAATCTACATACCAGGAAAAGACCTTCATCACAAGACACCTCAAACATATTAACGCTTAAGAAAACTTTATCATTACTGAACTAGTTTTTATTTATCGATCACCTCACTAACTCACTAAGTCATCATCTAGTCTATTAATTTGCCGTTACTTCATTTTATATTTCATTGTCAATTATTTTTCTTTTATTTTTTTATTATTATTATTTATTTTATTCTAACTTATTTCAGTTTTCATGTTAAAACATTTTTCTTCCTCACTTTTTGTATTTTGTTACTTACTTACTTGTTTAATTTGTACTACTGCCTTGCATGTTGCTACAGTTTCTGCGTCTGTCAGATCCTGATTTTTAAAGAATAATAATAAAAAAAAGTGCGTGTGTATGTGGTGAAGTATTAAAGGCGCTCAACGATCACGTCTGGTAAAACACTTTCTTCGAATCAGTTGTCAAACTTGATTTAAAAGTTCAGAAAGCAAAAAGTGTTCGCCATCAAGCGTTCAAAATAAATTTTCTCTAGTTAATTTAATATTCGCACCGAAAATTACCCCTAACATGGAAAATTAAATGTCCGAGTCGAAGCTAGCATCGCGGAAGTATTTTTCAAAGTTCAAATAAACCATTCAAAAAATTTCTTTTGTATCGGACCTCAGTCAGTAAAAGTGAATGTTGAGAATTTTTTATCAAACCGCGCTGATATATACCTACATACATAGAAATTATTGTAAAATTGTCAGATGAGCAACAAAGTTTCAATACTTTAAGCCCAAGTAAATTTCTAGCTTGGCCTGTGAATCGTAGTAACTTATTTTTAAAGAGCTGCTGAAACTATGCAAATAATAAATTATTAAATTTCGAAAATGGATATATCTTGTATAAATTTCATTTGTTCTTCACATAATTTGAAATTTAAATAAAAACATAAAAACATGTGTTAAAACTACAAATATCAGAAATATTCAAAAAAGGTGAAGTCTGAATAAGGGATGGGTATGTTTGATATTAATTGACTGAAAGCAAAAATTAAACCTAGAAACTTTATTTGGTTTTCAAATTAAATCTGTATATTTTCATACGTTAATTTAAGATAAGCGATGAGAAAATTATAGCTTTAGTTTTTGGGCTCGAGAAAAGGATACCATTAAATGTCGTCGTGAATCGCTTGAAATTTTCAAGTTAACAGAAACATTCCTGTTTAAATTCACGTCACACGTTATAAAAATTGATCTTAATTATGGCAAGAGCTAATCTTTTAGCCAAAGTATTTTTTTGATCAAGTTATTGATTTACTGAATGAGTTAGAGTTAAGTTAGCTATTTACATGCCGGTCAAGTTACAGTTAAAGTTATATATTTTAGACTACTTATGGTTAAAGTTACAGTTAACTCTAACTATAACATAAGTTAAAATTACAGTTGGAGATTACTGAAATAACACTGGACCATAGTTGCATTGTAACATTTACCCATAATCAATTCCCATACATTCTTACCATATTCTACCACATCAAACTCTATCACACTGTGAGAGTTGTTTTGCCTCTGTTTATGTAGTTGAACGTGCAGGTGTATGTTTGAATGCGTTTGTCGTGTGCGAGTGTGTGTGGTTGAATGTGTGAGTTCAATATAATTCATAAACAACAATACGGTTTCATTCCTAAATCATCAACTGAAGATGCAATTACAGAACTACACATTTCGCTTCTCAATAATTTCGAACTCAAAAATTTTACCTTAGGTATCTTCATAGACCTCAAAAAAGCGTTTGATGTCATTGATCATCCACTAATGTTGTCAAAATTAAAGATCTATGGCATTCGAGGTCCTATCTTCAACTGGTTTGAATCTTATTTAATATCAAGAACGCAATATACCTCTATAGATGATTTCAACTCCCATCCTGGTATTATTCAAACTGGAGTTCCACAAGGCTCGATTCTAGGACCTCTTTTATTTATAATATTTGTCAATGATATATTTTTAGTATCCAACATATGCAAAACCATATTATACGCAGATGACACTAACATATTTTTATCTGGAGATAATCCAATTTACCTATTTTCAAATATGAATCATCAACTAAATAAATTCATGGAATGGTTTGAATTCAATAAATTAACATTGAATATAAAAAAATCTTGCTTCATAGTGTTCGGTCCTAAGATCAAAACAAATGACGTTATTTTTAACAATTTAAAAATATATCTTGGCGAAAACGTTCTTCCAAGAGTGTCGTCTGTCAGATTCCTTGGAATTATCATCCAAAGTGATTTGAAATGGGATGAACACGTCAACTTGGTTATCAGTAAGTTACACACAGTCATTGGCGTGATTTATAGAGCACGTAATAAACTTGACCAAACTTTAATGATTATTCTTTATTATTCACTTTTTTATCCGTACCTCATATATGGTAATCTGTTCTGGGGCTACAGCTGTGAATATTTAAATAATAAATTACAAATAGCACAAAAACGCTTACTGAGAATTTGCTTCTCAATTAAGTTTTACGACCATACTGCCTCCATTTTCACTGATTGTGGATTTCTTAACATCGAACAGATAAATAAGTATATAATTTTAATTTATATTTATAAAATCCAACATGTTGACAGCCACAAAACTATTTTTGTATTTGAAAAAATTACATCAAAGATCAGACAAAACAACATGCTGAAAATACCCAAAAGTAGGACGGGATTATATGATAAATCCTGGTTCATACGAGGTGTTAAAATGTGGAATGAATTTGGTTTCCATAATTCACAATTCTCTTCCATTGCCTCCTTTAAAAAAGCAAGCCAAGAAAAAAATTTTCGAAAGTGTTCTGTAAACTTAATTAGTTATTATTATTTCATACTCGTGATATTACTTTGATTTTTTACTATTATATAAATGTTTTAAACAATTGCAGTAACGTTGAAAATTTTAATTTTTCAATTTGAATTAATCATTTGAAATTTTTCATTTGTTTTTGTTGAAGATATGATGAAAATAATGAATAAATAGTAATATATCTGTAACACTGAAGATATACGAAAATTAATATAATAAAATTTAATTAGAAGTGTATCGATAGACAATCATCTTATTACTGAGAATATACGCTAATGATGACAATAAAGGCACATGATCTTTTAACAGTATATTTTGTAACAAAGATAAAGTGATTTTACTATAAATGAAAAACACATTGTCTGATTTTAAATGTTTTTTGAAGAATTTTTTATTAAGTAGTTATATTTAGGTAAAACTATGATGCAATAGTTGAAACGTTTTTTATGGACTCAGAACTCGGAGTGTAAATGTCGATATTTGGTGTCGGAACGAACGAAATTTTTTGAGAGGCCATGTTAGAAACGAATATTTTTCATCACTCCCAGACAGTCTGCATAAACTCACAGAATAGAAACCACAATATATATTCATATACTAATTTATTTCATATCAACGTTGAAATATAATATGTATCAATATAATGTATAAGCTAATACGAAATATATATACATATCACATGAAGTTGTCAAAAAAAAAATTCAAAAGATAATTCAAAAAAGAGAAATGTGATTTTGTGCATATTGAATTTTGTACAAAATATAATAAAATAACATTTACAAATTAAATTATAAAAATATACAGTATCGATTAATTAATTAATACATTTAATGTTGGTTGTTTCTGCAAAGCGGATGTCTCTTTCCATTGTATTTGAGTGTGTTTTTGAATCTGGACCTCTTGTTTGCCAGCCACTTCCTTACTTGTTTCTCCTCCAACTGACATTGGTTCGTCAAATTTGTGAGGTCATCCCCAAAAATGTATGGGTCATCAACGTGTCTCGCATACCAATCTTCAAGGATGCTCACAATCTCCGTCCCGAATGTGTTTTTTGTTGTTGGAATCGTTGGCGGACTGGAAAGTGAACTATCGTTGTTGTTAGAATACAAATTGGAGTCAGTCTGTGGTTGTTTAAATGCTGGAGTGCTGGTTATTTTGGGATTGAAAGATATTGCATCATCCCAATTCATTTCAAATCTTGTACTGGGTTGTGGAAACTGAAAAATAGAATTATCCACATGTGCATTGATTCGTTGTGTCCAACTCAAAGATGAGTCCTCCCCACCATTCATTTCTGTGCGGAATTTTTTGAACGGCGTGTTGGGATCGGCTGATGGGAGTTCCTCGTTATCTTCCCAGGGTCGTTTCAGCGCAAAACTGTGTTTCGAGGGAAATTCATCAACGGAATGTGGGATGTTGAAACAGAGGTTATTTATTTTGAACATTTTGTTGTTCATCGAACTTTCCACAGATACATTTGTTTTCCACCAGTGAGTTGAACTTCTGTGAACATCAACGGCGTACGACGATGTTGTGTAGTAGCCACTTTCTGCCTGTCCTCTTTTCACTGATGAAATATCTTCCGTTGATTCGTCTTTTTGTCTACTATTGTTTAATGAATTATTGTTTTGAAAAACATTTTTTGTCACCTCATTGTCACCTGAACGATCATCAATCTTGGATCCCAAAGGAGTATCGTTTCTTAAACTGTCCATTGAATTTGTTCACACAGTAATTGTTTTCTTATTAGCTCTTATTATTTTTTATTATTTAGAACTGAAATATTTTTCAACTTATCGTATGCCCTTGTAAATATTTTTGAGGCTAGATTTGATTTGTATTTGCAGGATTAAAATTTTCTCTTGTGAATGTGATTGGACTTTTTAGTTATGCTCATTAGAATGTTTGGTGCTCTGTATTTATAGACAGGAATGTGGTGAAGCAATTAAAGTGAAACATCACACAAAACGAGCGTATCCACTTTCAATTAACTGTCCCAATTAAAAGTGGTGTCATTTGAGTAATTAAGTGGCACACTATAAAGTGAATTTTTACTTAATTGGCTCAGTAATTATTTAATTAAACAAGTTTTTGAGTAGTGCTCAGTTTCTTTATTTTATTTTAGAATCACTTTTCTGTCTTTGAAGTAGTTCGGCTAAATTTACTTTAAAGGTTTTACTTTGAACCGCTAATTATATATCATTATGGCCAATGAAGATTTGACAAACTTTAATTAATTACACAAATCAATTATTCAAATACAGTTAAAATGTTCAACTCCAAAACATTTAGAACATGTTGACTTTTGATACAACTGAAATTCAAATTGAAGCGACACATTTTACACGAATTAAAAATTCTATTATTCTAAATGAACCCTCATCAGCTCTGGTCTTCCACATCATTATAGATCAATTGCTTTAAATTTTATTGCTTTTGTAATGTAACTGCTCCAAATTTTTGAAATTTATAATTATGACTGACCTTTACTTTTACTCTATTTGATTAATGTTAAATTCCCAAATAATTTCTTTTCATTGATACAAAATAATTAAGGTCCAATTAATAATAACCAAACATTGGTTCATGTAATGCAAATGTTCAGAAAATTGGCACGTGCCATTTACAAACAGTCAACGTTAAATGGTCAGTGTCAGTTTTTATTGGGTTCAAATAACTAAACAATCTCAGCGTTATTGTTCATTATTTGAATATTTTTAAATTCAAAAAAATCTGATGCAACATTTTTCCTATTTCCGTTAAAAATTAATTTAACTCTAAACTGATAAAAAAGTCTTTAGCAATCAACCAACCAACCAATCAATAAATCAACCAATTAGTTTATAAAGCGCCATTTCCGCGATGATCAATAGCGCTCCTCAATGAATTTTGCAAACAGAGGTGCCTTGAGATTTGCCTTGAACTTCGTAAGTGATGGAGAAGTAGTCAAAGAAAAAGGTGGGGAGTTCCGGAGAAACGAGCCAGAAAAAGCAAATGTAAATTTATCAATAGTGTTTAAAACGAGTCAAGAAAAAGTGAGAACAAGAAGACACTCGTAAGCCAAGGCGTTTAGGTTCAATTAATATATCTGGTAAGTACTTAGCAACTAGACGAGCAGCAGAGTTAGAAGCTTTACTTGAAGAATAGAGTGCAGAATCAGGAAGACTATAGTAAAGCGAGTTACAAAAATCAATCCTAGATAATACTAATGAAGTAACAAAAAGAAGAGAAGTAGGTTCGTCAAGAAAAGGCAAAATTTTTTTTATTCTACGTAACTGAAAGTAAGAAAGTAGCAACACTATTAATCTGAGAATAAAGATGCATGCTAGAATCAAAGAAAAAGCCTAGACTACAAAACTTACCTGAAACATTTAAAGTTTTAGAATCAGATAAGATAATAGAAGGAATAGTAATAGAGCTTTTAGATTTATTGATACGAATATAATTCAAATTTAGAAGGATTAAGATACATAGAATCAGATCAAGCGATAATTGAAGAAAGACATAGAATGAGATATGTTATAAAAGACACAATTGAGATTAGATGGATGAAAAAAAGTATAAATACAAGAATCATCAGCATATAGTTCACTAGTGAAAAAAAATAATTGTAATTTTTATCAAAATCATTCTACGTGTTGACATAAAATTTAATAACTTAATATTAAAAATATGTATGAAAATATGTGTGTGTGAATAAATTTATTGTTTAGCATTTTCATATATTAAGTGAAGATTTTGCTAATATCAAACTCTGTCGCCTCCGTTTAGCGTCAGGCGACTTTTTAGGTTTACCAGCTAAACCTGTCAGTATTATTATTATTTTTCGAAAATTTGTATAGCACTAATTACAAACAGAATGTTTCTCAAAAGCACTGTCTAAAGAAAAAAAAACAGTTGAATTGCTACGATAAACCAAATCTTATAATGAAAACAAAAATGATTTCAATAATTTCTTGAACAATTTTTCTGTCAGTTCGGGCTGTCTAAGATAACTTGGTAGATTATTCCAAACGGCCGGTGTTGTGTTGTGTGGTGTGCGCGTCTGTATGTGGTTGAATCTGTAGGGTTATGTCCGTGGTTTTTTAATAAATATTGGATTATGACTGACAAAAAGCAATCATTGATGAAAATCGCAGCCCGGACTGGATGCAACATCGTGGGCGACTGCGACACGAACTTAAAATTAAGAAAAAGTCAACTAACGCTGAACATGCTGTGACATTTATAATTGCATTTCTGACAGTCTTAATCTGATATATATATATATATATATATATATATATTATAGAAAAATCTGAAAATATATAAATATATATATATATATATATGTATATATATATATATATATAAATATATGTATATATATATAAATTGGTAATAGACCATAATTTTTACAATATTCTATAAATTCTACCAAATGTTTGGCGTTAATATGTTTGTAATTCGATTTTCAATTTTTCTCACTAAATGATGTTTCCTTCGGAATCCAAAAATGGCCTTATTTGCAGCATGAATTCGGAAAATAAGTTTATTTGGAATTTTTATAAACTAATCGTTCACCAAAAAATTTTAGTGAGAAAAATTGAAAAAACGAACTACAAAAATATTAACACCAAACATTCGGTAGAATTGTTAGAATATTGGAAATATATATATATATATATATATATATATATATATATATATATATAGAAGCTTTGTTAGAAGATTTACATAAAGTATAGAGTGTAGAATCAGGAATGCTATAGTAAAGCGAGTTACAAAATTCAATCCTAGATAATACTAATGAAGTAACAAAAAGAAGAAGAGTAGTTTTGTCAAGAAAAGCCAAAAGTTTTTTTATTCTACGTAGCTGAAATTAAGAACTTTGAAATTGATCTGAGAATAAAAAGACATGCTAGAATCAAATATATATATATATATATATTTAAATATATATATATATATATATTGTTATAACACTCGCTGTCGTAACCGATTTACAGGTTCAAATCTTCGATTGAATAAAATACTCCAAAGAGTTATTAATTATTAAACTTTGTTAACAGAGGAAATTAACTAATCGTTTATTTCTAGCAAATTCAAATTAACGCAACAATTAACTTTTAAATTGTTCAAAATCTATCGCTATGACAACGTCAACAAACAAATCAAATATCGCTTTAATTAAATAATTCACAGAATCGCTATTCACAAAATCACAGAGTCACGAATTAACAAAATCACGAATTTCACTCATCGCTAATCTTCTTGCGACGTGTGCTTATATACTCTTCGCAAGCGTCGTTTCTAGATTTTTCTAGATGATCCGATTCTAGGATATTCAAGAATGTTCTAGTGCGTTCGGTAGCACGGTTATAACATAGTTCTGTTATAACATTGTTCGGTTATAACATAGTTCGGTTATATCTTAGTTCTGTTCGTCCCGAACAGCTTTCGTTCCGGTGTCCGCATGGTACGGAGCCAGTCTATCCAAATGAACGATCTTCATTCTTGCTCTCGGCTTCCGATATTTCTGAATACGGTAGACGACGTCATTCAAGCGGGTGATGACTTGATAAGGTCCTTCCCAACCTCGCTGGAGCTTTGGAGAACGTCCTTTCTTTTGCTGTGGGTTGTACAGCCAAACTAACTCGTCGACAGCAAAACCGCCACTGCTTCCTTTCAAGTCGTATCTGGTTTTGGGCCGCCTCCGTGTTTTTCATAATTTTAAGGCGTACGTATCGGTGGACATGGTTTAATTAATCGCTTCAAAGAT